TTCCAGTTCTCTTTCTGGCTTGCTTTCATTCATTCGCTCGTTTGCGTATTCAGATTTAACTGCAACAAGCCGTAACATTTCTTCAATCCTTTGCAGACCCCCAGGGTTGAGAATCAACGATTTAGGGGATTTTTAGGGGTTCTTCCTTGCTTTGTATCTTTTTTTTCCCCAGGATCTTGCAGCAGTAGCAAGGGAGAGAAGCCAGATCAAACTCTGCTGGCTTCCAGCAAGTTATTTGTCCAAGTCCTTCGTGATCATTGCTTCTCTGGCTATTTTTCTTACTGCCAGCATCATGCATCAACAGGATTCCAGCCAGCTTCTTTATCCCATTTGTATGGCACCTTTCCTCCAACGAGCGCAAGGTGGCCAACTTGAGGCTCTTTTTAAAGAAATCTGGGAACTCAAATGCAGATTTCTCAAGCTTGTCTCTAAAGATGCCTCTAGTTGCTTATATTAGATACGAAGTATGGGACATAGACCCAATAAAAGGAATTTTGCTGAGCTCTGTTCTGTTCAACCTCTGCCTCTTGGGCCAAAGAAACAAATAAATCTCTCTTGCTGGAAGGCAGTGTTTTCAATCCTACGGTACGCAATAGGCTTTTCCAGAAGAAAATGTGTATTACGACATGCTTGCTGTCGGTGAAAGAAGGCATCCCTAAATGATTGAAAGTCATAGTATGGATGTGTGTCAATAGTGGCAAGTCACTGCCATGTTTCGTTATTCAGGTTTCCATCTAGGATTTAAAGGATCTCTCCAAGGTGCTGAAATCTATCCTTTAGCACATTGGTTCTCAACCTTCCTGATGCCGCAACCCCTTAACACAGTTCCTCATGTTGTGGTGACCCCCAACCACACCATAACAATAACGTTGCTACTTCATTACTGTCATTTTGCTACTGTTATCAATTGTAATGTAAATATCTGATATGCAGGATGCATTTTCATTCACTGGACCAAATTCGGCACAAATATCCGATACGACCAAATTTGAATACTGGTGGGATTGATTTTGTCATTTGGGAGCTGTAGTTGCTGGGATTTATAGTTCACCTACAATCAAAGAGCACTCTTAATTCCACCAATGATGGAATTGAACCAAACTGGCACACAGAACTCCCATGACCAAATACTGGAAGTCTTTGGTGAGCATTGACCTTGAGTTTTGGAGTTGTAGTTTACCTACATCCAGAGAGCACTGTGGACTCAAACAACAATGGATCTGGACCAAACCTGGCACAAATACTCAATAAATCCAAATGTGAACACTGGTGGAGTTTGGGGGAAATAGACCTTGACATTTGGGAGTTGTAATTGCTGGGATTTATAGTTCATCTACAACCAAAGAAAATTCTGAAATCCACCAATGATGGAATTCAAATAAACTTGGCACACAGAACTCCCATGACCAACAGAAAATACTGGAAGGTTTTGGTGAGCATTGATCTTGAGTTTTGGTGTTGTAGTTCACCTACATTCAGGGAGCACTGTGGACTCAAACAATGATGGATCTGGACCAAACCTGGCACAAATACTCAATATGCCCAAATGTGAACACTGGTGGAGTTTGGGGAAAATAGACCTTGACATTTGGGAGTTGCAATTGCTGGGATTTATAGTTCATATACAACCAAACAGAATTCTGAACTCCACTAATGATAGCATTGGGCTAAACCTTTCACACAGAACCCCCATGACCAACAGAAAATACTGTTTTCTGATGCTCTTTTGTGATCCCTTTGACACCCGCTCATGACCCCCTCACAGGGGTCTCAACCCCCAGGTTGAGAAATACTGATTTAAAGGTAGTGCTTACATGGATTCATTACCCCAATGGCATGGAGCCATCAGCCATCAATGCAACTGTTCACTTCTATGTTCTGAAGCTTTGTTTCACCCAGATTTCTCTTCCTTTCCTGCTGAGTAGGTGGATGTGTAAACTGAGCTGGATGCATCCTTCCCTCCAAGTGGCTAGATACTGGTCAAAGGATATTTAATCGACTACCAAACTCACAAATTTTGTATTTTGTCTGTTTGTTTGCTTTGTTCTGTTAGAAATGTAATATAATTTGACTGGTTGTCCTGACACAACAAAAAAAAAATCCTTCCCTTTGTCGCTCTGAAAACAGGGTGATGGATTTTCACACTGCTTAACCACTGCAATGCATGGTGCGAGGTGGATATGTTTGCAATCTGAATGTAACTGTGCTGTAGCTCGAAAACACACACATACAAATTCAAAGCAGGAGAGGTCCACCATCTAGTGGCTCCACCACAAACTACAAGGTTTCAATTTCCACATGATTAGACAATAGGGCTGTGCAAAACTTCATTTGTAATTCGTTTGTCATATCTATTTCGTTAGATATAAGCTTAGAGAAGACAATGATGCTGGGGAAAGTGGAAGGAAAAAGGAAGAGGGGCCGACAAAGGGCAAGATGGATGGATAGTATCCTTGAAGCGACTGGATTGATCTTGAAGGAGCTGGGGGTGGTGACGGCCGACAGGGAACTGTGGCGTGGGCTCGTCCATGAGGTCACAAAGAGTCCGAAACAACTGAATGAATGAACAACAACTATCTATTTCGTAAGATTTGTACATATAAGGCAATTCTAAGAAACACGAGGGGTTTGTTGTTTATTCGTTCAGTCACTTCCGACTCTTTGTGACCTCATGGACCAGCCCAGGCCAGAGCTCCCTGTTGGCCGTGGCCACCCCCAGCTCCTTCAGAGTCAAGCCAGCCACTTCAAGGATGCCATCCATCCATCTTGCCCTTGGTCGGCCCTTCTTCCTTTTTCCTTCCTTTTCCCCCAGCATCATTCTCTTCTCTAAACTTTCCTGTCTTCTTATGATGTGGCCAAAGGACTTCATCTTGGCCTCTACTATCCTTACCTTCAGTTGGGCTTTCTTTCCTGGAGGATGGACTGGTTGGATCTTCTCCCAGTCCAAGGCATTCTCAGAGCTTTCCTCCAGCACCACAGTTCAAAAGCATCTCTCTTCCTTCGCTCAGCCTTCCTTATGGTCCAGCTCTCACATCTGTAGGCGACTATGGGGAATACCATTGCTTTGAGTGAGGGCAGAATATAAATGCTGTAAATAATATAGAAGTTGTAGTCCAAGACAGATGAAGGTCCAGGTCCAGGGAAGTCATGCTACCCCTCAATTCTATTCTGCCTTGGTTAGACCACATCTGGAATATTGTGTCCAATTCTGGGCACCACAATTGAAGGGAGAAGTTGACATGCTGGAATGAGTCCAGAGGGCGACTCAAAGGATCAAGGGTCCGGAGAACAAGCCCTATGAGGAGAGGCTTAAGGAGCTGGGCATGTTTAGCCTGAAGAAGAGAAGGCTGAGAGGAGACATGATAGCCATGTATAAATATGTGAGGGGAAGTCATAGGGAGGAGGGAGCAAGCTTCTTTTCTGCTGCCCTGGAGACGAGGACTTCAAACTGCAGGAAAGGAGATGCCACCTGAACATGAGAAAGGACTTCCAGACTGTGAAAGCTGTTCAGCAGTGGAACTCTGCCCCAGATTCCTCCCATAGCAGGACCAATTGTGTGTGTGTGTTGAAGAAAAAACCTTATGGTGTTAATTATTATGTACAGCTGGCAATGTAGGTCAACCAGCAAGATTGGGCCATACCCAATGGTGTGTATCTGTATGGGATTTTTTAGAATACAGTGTGGGTGTGGGTGGTGGAGAGCTTTTTCTCTGAGGAGATCTATGCTCAAAGGCTTTGCTCGTTTGGAGAAGCTACTCTGAAGGAGGCTATGGTGGAATAGTTATTTACTCAAGGTTTATTTTTGCTCTCTCATTTGATGTAAGGTGAAGATGCCTTATTTTGTGTTACTTACAAAGACAGTTTCTGGCACTGTTTGTTTTTTGTATGCATTGCAAGTTTATGTGTTCCATCTCTGCTATTATGAGTAAAGATATTTCTGATCATTTTTACTCTTGTCTGTGAGTCTATTGCAGCGTTTCTCAATCTTTTTAATGCCACGACCTCTTAATCCAGTTCCTCATGTTGTGGTGACCCCCAACCATAACATTATTTTTGTTGTTACTTCATAACTGTAATTTTGCTACTGTTAGGAATTGTAATGTAAATATCTGATATGCAGGATATATTTTCATTCACTGGAACAAATTTGGCACAAATACCCAATATGCCCAAATTTGAATACTGGTGGGGTTGTGGGGGGATTGATTTTGTCATTTGGGAGTTGTTGCTGGGATTTCTAGTTCACCTACAATCAAAGAGCAAACAGTGATGGATCTGGACCAAACTTGGCACGGATACTCAATATGCCCAAATGTGAACACTAGTGGACTTTGGGGAAAACAGACTTTAACATTTGGGAGTTGTAGTTGCTGGGATTTCTAGTTCACCTACAATCAAAGACATTCTGAACTCCACCAACAATGGAACTGAACCAGACTTGGCACACAGAACTCCCATAACCAACAGAAAATACTGGAAGGGTTTGGTGGGCATTGAGTTTTGGAGTTGTAGTTCACCTACATCCAGAGAGCACTGTGGATGCAAACAGTGATGGATCTGGACCAAACTTGGCACAAATACTCAATATGCCCAAATGTGAACACTGGTGGAGTTTGGGGAAAATAGACTTTAACATTTGGGAGTTGTAGTTGCAGGGATTTATAGTTCACTTACAATCAAAGAGCATTCTGGACTCCACCAATGATAGAATTGGGGCAAACTTCCTACACAGAACCTCCATGACCAACAGAAATTCTGTGCTTTCTGATGGTCCTTGGTGACACCCCCTCATGACCCCTTCAGGGGTCCCGACCCCCAGTTTGAGAAACACTGGTCTATTGCATTTGGACTTTGGGCGCTAGGTAAAATCCACTGCTTCACAACAGGGTTGAGCTTCTGAAAAGACTGATCCGTTTGGATCCATTGATTCCACACACACACACACACACACACACACACACACACACACACACACCCTCTGGAAGAGAACACCACAGAAAGAGAGTGAGTAATAATTTAATCCAAAAAAAAATTAGCTAACAATCTATGGAAAACGAGAGGTTCACACTCAAAGGGTTTTTACACGTTTTTTTTTTCCGTTTGCTCACCGAAAACAAATCTAATCCAACACAACTGAAAACAAAGAGAGGAGAAAAACAGAAAAGGCACATTACAGCTCCGTAAAAAGAGGGTGGCAGTTTTGCCCAGCTTTGGTCACTCTTTCGTCAAGAGTCCCGGCAGTTCCAGAGAGACCCGAAATCCTTTGCGCGACACCAGAACTGCCACAAACAGGCTGTCAGAGGTGGAGGCTACACAACAAGAAGGTCGTGCTGCACGAGACTTTTGAGAGCGGACGTCAAGGGCTCTTGGAGCAAAGGGGATGAAGTTGGACAAGGGTGCATGCTATGGGTCAGTCCCAGGTCCCAGAGGTGTCCCACTTGTGGCTCTCCAGATGTACTGGACTCCAGTTTCCAGAATTCCCGGTCACTGGAGGTAAGAGCCCCCAACACAGTGGTTCTCAACCTGGGGTCCCCAGATGTTTTTGGCCTTCAACTCCCAGAAATCTCAACACTGGTAAATTGGCTGGGATTTCTGGGAGTTGTAGGCCAAAAACATCTGGGGACCCCAGATTGAGAACCACTGCCCCAACACCTGAAGGTCCACCAGTTTGACATCTCTGCCGTGTCCAGACTGCTACAGAAGATGTGGCCCTCCAACACCAGAACTACATTGTATGGCAAACACAAAGCGACCCTGTGTTTAGCATGGGACAGATGGTGGCTTGTCCTTCATAAATGGTCTTGATGGGGACGACACACAACATGGAGACACTTGAGTCACAGGAAAAGCTTCTCTATTATCTTATGGAGCTTCCAAACAGCAGGCCTCAGTTCCTCACACCGTTGTCATTCCATGCTGAACAACAGAAAGTGTGGAGTTTGGCCACCAAAGAAGCCAAGATCATGGAATATAAAGCATGAAGTTTGGCCACCAAAGACATCCAGAAGCCAAGAGCATCAGCTTATAGACCATGCGGACAAGAGCTCTCCTCCACTCAAGAGCAAAGGGCATCTTGTCCCAAAGACATTGATGGGACAAAGCAAGCCAGAGAGGAGCATGGTTTCAGATTTTAAAAAATGAGCCACTAACAGTGGGTTGTTGTAGGTTTTTCGGGCTATATGGCCATGTTCTAGAGGCATTCTCTCCTGACGTTCCGCCTGCATCTATGGCAAGCATCCTCAGAGGTAGTGAGGTCTGTTGGAACTAGGAAAATGGGTTTATATATCTGTGGGATGACCCACTAACATTTCTTATACACATCACACATTGGCTGCATTCAAACTGCCACGTTAAGCCAGGATTCGTGGTTTATTAAACCACGATGTCATCCGACACTTCTTCTCGTCTTCTTTCGTCACACAAATAAATTAAAGGGGGATCGTTGCATGTTAACCCCAAAATCTGGATCATGATCGGGTTAAATTGTGCGAAGGGACGGATCGCACAAGAATGATCATGCTTCATTAATCAGCAACATGTCAGCTGGGTTGTTCTAGGTTTTTTGGGCTATATGGCCATGTTCTAGAAGCATTCTCTCCTGACATTTTGCCTGCATCTATGGCAGGCACCCTCAGAGGTTGTGAGTCATGGGAGGTCTGTTGGTTATGGGAGTTCTGTGTGCCAAGCTTGGTTCAATTCCATCATTGGTGAAGTTCAGAATGCTCTTTGATGATAGTTGAACTATAAATCCCAGCAACTACAACTTCCAAATGTCAAGGTCTATTTCCCCCAAACTCCACCAGTGTTCACATTTGGGCATATTGCATATTCGTGCCAAGTTTGGTCCAGATCCATCATTGTTTGAGTCCACAGTGCTCTGATGTAGGTGAACTACAATCAAAACTCATATACAACCCAGCAACTACAACTCCCAAATGTCAAGGTCTATTTCCGCCAAACTCCACCAGTGTTCACATTTTGGCACTTTGAGTATTTGTGCCAAGTTTGGTCCAGATCCATCATTGTTTGATTCCACAGTGCTCTGTGGATGTAGGTGAACTAGAACTCCAACACTCAAGGTCAGTGCCCACCAAACTCTTCCAGTATTTTCTGTTGGTCATGGGAGTTCTGTGTGCCTCACAACCTCTGAGGATGTTTGCCATAGATGCAGGCAAAACGTCAGGAGAGAATGCTTCTAGAACATGGCCATATAAGCCTAAAAAACCGACAACCACCCAGTGATTCCAGCCATGAAAGCCTTCGACAATACATTGAACATGTCAGCTGCTTTCACACACAGTAATTCAGATTGTGGGTCCATTAATGTAACGTCTGAAGGTAACCTAGCTTGCCAGCAACATGGCAGACAAAAATGAGAAATGTCATGTTAGGTTGCTGTGAGTTTTCTGGGATGTCTGTCCATGTTAAAGAAGCATTCTCTCCTAATGTTTCGCCCACATCTATGGCAGGCATCCTCAGAGGTTGTGAGGTCTGTTGGAAACTTGCGTACCTGTTTTTTTTTTAATTGCACAGGTGCAGTATGTAGTATTTTAAGGGTGCATCTCACCATCAATATATGTAGCATTTCAATGATTTATGGGATTTTAATTGTGCATTTTATATTGTATTTAATAATCTGGTTTTCACATTATCTATTTGCCTTATATGTGAAATACCTATGGTGTAAGCATCAAATAAACTTGACTGTATCTGTGGAATATTGTCCAGGGTGGGAGAAAAAACTTGTCTGCTTGACACAAGTGTAAATGTTGCCATTGGCCACCTTAATTAGCGTTTGCAGCTTCAAAGCCTGTCTGGGTGCTGGCTGGGGGAATCCTTTGTTGGGAGGTGTTAGCTGGCCCTGATTGTTTCCTGTCTGGAATTCCTCTGTTTTCTAAGTGTTGCTCTTTATTTACTGTCCTGATTTTAGAGGTTTTCTTAATAGCCAGATTTTGTTTATTTTCATGGTTTTTTCCTTTCTGTTGAAATTGTCCACATGCTTGTGGATTTCAATGGCTTCTCTGTGTAGCCTGACATGGTGGTTGTGAGCGTGGTCCAGCATTTCTGTGTTCTCAAATAATATGCTGTGTCCAGGCTGGTTCATCAGGTGCTCTGCTATGGCTGACTTCTCTGGTTGACGTAGTCTGCAGTGCCTTTCATGTTCCTTGATTCGTGTTTGGGCAATGCTGCTGCATGTGGTAATCCCTACGTAGACTTCTCCACAGCTACATGGCATATGGTAGACTTCTGCAGTAGTGAGAGGATCCCTCTTGTCCTTTGCTGAACGTAGCATTTGTTGGATTTTCTTGGTGGATCTGTAGATAGTTTGTAGGTTGTGTTTCCTCATCAGCTTCCCTCTGCAATCAGTCGTTCCCTTGATGTATGGCAAGAACCCTTTTCCTCTGGGTAGATCTTTGTCTTGACTCTCGTGGCTTGTTCTTGGTCTCACAGTTCTTCTGATGTCTGTGGTGGTCTCCATTGACTTGCAGAGCCCAGTTGAGATGGTCCAGTTCACCTTGGAGGAGGTAGGCTTCGCAGGTTCTTTTTGCACCATCTGCCAAGGCTTTGATTGTCCTTCTTTTTTGACTTTGGTGATGGTTGGAATGTTTATGTAGGTATATATCCAAATGGTGATGGTGTAGGCTTTCTGTAAACTGTGTGGCCCGATTGTTGATTGCGTTTGTGGATGACTAGGACATCTAGAAATGGCAGTTTTCCTTCATTTTCTTTTCCCATGGTGAATTGGATGTTTGGGTGTGTAGTTCAGCCTATGATTGGGCCTGATGTCAATGGGGATGAGGATTTTTCTGGGCCTGAGTCAAGCCCAGGCCTTGCTGAGAGGCCGAGGTGTCTCGTGAACAGAGAATCTTCTTCTGCAGATTCGCAAGGCCAAATTCCTGGGTGAGGCCCACAGCAGTATTTCTCTGAGGAACTGTCTTCTAAGGATGAGTCAGCTCCGGGTTGAGAGGGGCGGTATACAAATATAGTAAATAAATAAATGAATAAATGATTTGTCAGGTGCAGAAGTTAATGAGTGAAAGCAAGAATTTTGTAAACTGAGACAGAGTTTTCAGGATCGGCGAAGATCAATCCATCTGCTGGAAAAGATAAGAAATCTTGGTTGTAAGAGCAAGCTAAATGCTTTCCTTTCGGTTCTTGAGATAGGAAAAGCTTTATATTGATACAAAGGAAGGTTTTTAACTCAGTCGGGGCAACGTTGGAACTTTGCAATGGTTTTGTTTCCAAGTGTATTTCTAGTTTCATGTTTCAAGTTTTGAAAGGTTCCTGTTTCATGTATTTGATTTCCATGTTGTCTTCTTCTCTGGATTTTGCATCTTTGGAACTTGTGTTTTGACCTTTGTACCTTGAAGATCATGAACTATCTGTTATCCTTGGACTATACTATTTTTACCATTTTTACTGCTTTGTTTACATATATCCTTCAATAAACTGCTTGCTGATTTTACTATTCTGGGGTGGTGTTTAAGGACAGAGGTGCTCTGCTCTGGGATACAACAGTGTGGATGCTGTTGAGGTGATCCAGGAACCTATTGAGTTCTCCTTCTCCATTGCTCCAAATGGTGAAGGTGCAATTCATTCATTCATTAGGCGATCCCTCGTTGTCCGAGTAGGATAGTCTTCCAAGATTTGTGTACTGCTGGTGGGTCTGTAGGTGACTGTGGAGCCCTATTCTTGATCTGCATCTTCTCCAGCAGTGAGGGCATTGGTTTCCAAGTGGAAGGCAGTCCCAGTCGGGGTTGGCTTGAGGCGCCTTCCTCTTTTCACATTTCCCTCTTTCACCCTCTATTCGTGCCTCTTCAAATTCTACAGCACTGCTGGTCACAGCTGACTTCCAGCTGGAGCGCTCAAGGGCCAGGGCTTCCCAGTTCTCAGTGTCTATGCCAGAGTTTTTAAGGTTGGCTTTGAGCCCATCTTTCAATCTCTTTTCCTGTTCTCCTACATTCTGTTTTCTGTTCTTGATTTCAGAGTAGAGCAAATGCTTTGGGAAACGGTGGTCAGGCATCTGGACAACGTGGCCAGTGTACCCGAGTTAATGGCGGAGGACCATCGCTTCAATGTTGGTGGTCTTTGCTTCTTCTTCCAGCATGCTGACTTTTGCCCGCTTGTCTTTCCAAGAAATTCACAGGGTTTTTCGGAGGCAACGTTGATGAAGGTGTTATCCACATATCTGAACCACGTAGTGGGCTTTTTGTTGCTGTTTCAAGGGCTTGCTTTTCAAAGTGTTCCAAAGTATTTCTCCCACCCTGGACATCATTCCACAGATATGTGTCGTTTCCAATAGACCTCACAACCTCTGAGGATGCCTGTCATAGATGTGGGCGAAACGTCAGGAGAGAATGCTTCTGGAACGTGGCCAGACAGCCCAGAAAACTCAAAGCAACCCAGTGATTCCTGCCATGAAAGCCTTCGACAATACAAATGTCATGTTGTTTCGTTCTTTGCCTTTTGGAATATATCATCACATCATTGAAAAAAATTCAGATCCTTGGGGAAGAGGAAAATAATAATAACCTAAAGTGGGATTTAGCCCCCCTTGGTAAGAGAATACAACAGTCCCACAAGTGAGGCAGCATTCAAAAGAAGTTTTAATTAACAAAATGGTCCGAGGAAAGGTGGAAAAGGATAGGAAAAGGATAGCGGAAGGCAGGTTGGGGCGAGAAAGAAAACGAAGAAAGGGAAATGCGGAAGGGTTTTTCAAAAGTCACCAGATGCGCTCGCAAAGCCCATGCGCAAGACGAACCCATGTGGAAGTCCGGTCCGAGCCGCTGAAGTACCCGGGACCAAACCCCATTGCTGAATACTATGTACACATTATTTGTCTCCTTTAGGAAAAAAAATAGAAAGGGAAAAAAAAACTGCAACGGGTGTTATAAAACGGATCTGCTTGCTTGGCACAAGAAGGCATGCAAAGCTAGAAGGTGCCGGAGGCTGCACAAAAAACAGCAGGATTTGGCAACAGGTTACAACAAAAATAGATATATATATATATATACACACGCACATATATATATATCCTCACAGCTAAAAGATAGAGCAGGGTTTAAAAGCCACTGAAGCGAAACCAGACGTTGTTTTCCCCTCCCCATTCCTTTCCCCTCGGCACTGAGTTGACCTATAGCTACTTTTGGGGGGGGGGGGGTTGTTTCAAAAATAATATATATAGTCTGTCATCCATCCTCTCTTTCTTTCTCGCTCTCAGCTCAGGTCAGAGTTCGTAGCAGCATCGACCAACGAGGAGCCTCAACTGTTGGGGGGTTTTCGGAAGTGGAGTTCACAGGTCGGGGGTTCAGTCCGTCCGGAGGATCATCGGGGGGTGTTCGCTATCTTCCTCCAAACGCAGGGCGCTGGCGTCGTCTTCCAGGCACGCGCCCCCAACGGCCCCCAGGTCCTCGTTGTAGGCTGGCGGGACAGAAAGGGAACCACAACAGTTAGCAGGGAATCTTATACAGTCCCTAAGGCAGTCCACAAACTTTTTTAACAGAGGGCCAGGTCACAGTCCCTCAAACTGTTGGAGGGCCGGATTATAATTTGGAAAAAAAGAAAAGAATGAATTCCTATGCACACTGCACATATTTTATTTGTACTACAAAAATCACTTAAAAACAATACAATTTTACCCAAAAAAAAAAATTTGGTCGTGTCAGCAGCAAGATACTCCACTTTGGCAGGAAAAACGAAATACAAAGATACAGAATGGGGGACAATGCCTGGCTCGAGAGCAGTACGTGTGGAAAAGATCTTGGAGTCCTCGTGGACAACAAGTTAAACATGAGCCAACAATGTGATGTGGTGGCAAAAAAAGCCAATGGGATTTTGGCCTGCATCAATAGGAGCAT